AAGTACAAGTAAAAGTACAAGTACAAGTACAAGTACAAGTACAAGTACAAGTACAAGTACAAGTACAAGTACAAGTACAAGTACAAGTACAAGTACAAGTACAAGCACAAGCACAAGCACAAGCACAAGCACAAGCACAAGCACAAGCACAAGTACAAGTACAAGTACAAGTACCACTACGAGTACGAGTACAAGCACAAGCACAAGCACAAGCACAAGTACAAGTACAAGTACAAGTACGAGTACGAGTACAAGTACAAGTACAAGTACAAGTACAAGTAGCAGCAGCAGCAGTAGTAAACCGGGTTCGTCGAACTGCGGTTTGAAGTCAGTGGCCTCAGACATCCAGACCACAAATCGACGCCTGCTCTGACAAATGCATGCACAAAGAGTTTTCCATATTCACCCGCCTCCAAGCTTGAGCAGCGAGCCTCGGGCTGTCCATGCAGTTTCACATCGGTCTCATATGCGGGCTGAGTCCGCTTTCACAGCGAGGCCGCTTGGCTTCTCCACTCCGATTCCCTTCCCTTCCCACCCTTTTCAGGCGCCGAATGCGCCGAGGGGCGGCCCGAGCGGCGCGAGTGCGCCAGGCTGGCCCTCGCAGCACCGCTCCGGCGTGGAGCTGCTCTCGGCCATCTCAGCTCAGGGAGGCAACCGAAAGGGCACCCTTTTGAGGAGTGGCAGCTTGTGTTGTCTTGGATCGTCTGAAGGTCTCATTTCCGTCATTGGTGCAAGCCAAAACCTGCAGACTTCCGTGAGAGCAGTGGCCTCTTTCCGCCACGGCGACCACCTCCTCCAAAGGTACCAGGTCGTCTGCTGCTGTACGGTTCAGCTGCTCGATGCAGCTTGCTTTACTCCTGGGCGCAAACCATGGCCCCATCCAGATGCTAGACAACGTCCTTCTCATCTTCAGATAAGTGCAGAACGCGAAGCAGTCATCTTTGCGCGCGGTCTGCAGCAAGACCTGGTTTGACACTGGTCAGTAGCTGGGACACAGGACACGTCTTTTCAATTATTACGTACACTCCGCACTTATGCCGCGAAGCTGCAACACCGCAGTCGCGTGAAACATCGCAGGTTTCCTTGTCCTCACTGCTGGTACTGCAGGATGCCTTCCGCACAGCCAAGCTGGGATTGCCAGAAAACAAGAATCCTGCGAGAGGGTGTCAGCCTGATGCACCGCAGCCAAGAGAGTCGCCTTGCGAGACATGAGGTACCGGTGGTGACAAGTGCCAACGAAAACATCGTAAACGAAAATGAGATTCGGGGCCTTCGCTAGCTGAAACATGTTGAAACAGCAGAGCCAGTAGCAACAAAAAAACAAGCTTCCGGCAATTGCCAGCAAACTTCCGCTGCTCGCGAGCGCACGTCGCATCGCAGCATGCTGCTACAGGACTCTAAGCCACGGGACAAGGTTCTTAGATATGTGTCGACCTTTCCTTCCTTGCATCATTGGAAAATCTTTGCTTGCTGCTGTTCCGGCAAAAGTTAAGGTGGCACTGATGGCCTGCGTCTATCTAAACTTCGGCAAAGAGTCTCTCGAGGGTGCATGGCATGCGAAGGTGCATAAGCTCATAAGCCCCTGGCGCAACGCTGATGCCAAACGGAGCTTCGAGAAACTGTTGTGCAAAACTCACTGAGCCAGCTCGTGCGGCATTGAGACGCCCACCTACCTTGCTTGGCAAACACTCATAATTCCATAAATTTGGTAGGAGACTTCAGAACATCCAGCTCGTCAATTTTTTGGCCATGCAGTGGGCCTCACTGTGAAGCGAGGCACCGGCGTGCTCGAGGATCCTTTGCCAATTGCTCCCTGCCGCACCCACACATACCCACACAAAAGCTATTCCCGGTTCCGACGAACGACGAGAACTCGCTCTGACAACTCAAAAGTTCTCAATCTAAACTTCGGATGCATCGGATAAGTTCCATCAAGTACATTCAAGTATTCAAGTCAACTCTGTCCGGCATTACTCAGCTGGCAGTCGGGATGAGAGCTGACAGCTCCCTGTGGGCAGTTGAAAAGCACCTTTTGCAGTACACAGGTACGGCTTCTGGCCCCACGGCAGTTTTAGTCCTGGTGCAAGAAAAACCGCTGACGAGCTGTGCCGGGACTCCAATGCACCCGCCACCAAAGCGTCCGGGTTCAAAAGATCCGCATCCGGGCGACGAGCTTGTGCAAGTCTCAAAGTCACACATGCCATTGACAACTTCTCGCAATCTGTCGCCCGCAGCCCATGTACGGGCGCTGGCTCCACGTGTCTTGAAACATGAGGAGGAGCAGTGCCCGAGAGACCCGTGGCTAAGGCGGAACATACCGGCAACCACAGCAAAGTGCGACGCGCTGGGCTCTGTGCTGGGACTCAGATTTGCTTAGATGTGTTCTGCTTACCCAGCGGTCGCATCAGCACACTTACTGTAGGTGAGACATACTAGTAGTGGATCATGTCAATCCTTCCACGGCCCGAGATCGAACCGGGGTGAGTCGGTGTCCGTCTGCGGCGGCGCTGGTGGCATGGCAGGCGCTGCGCAGGGCACCACAGCAGCACCAGTCCTTGGCAGCACTCTGCATCGAATGGGAAAGTCTGCGTGGGACTTTATGTTTCTAGAAGTGCTCCGGTGAACCACTTCATGCTTCGACTTTCCAAAGCCTGACTGCCGAGGCACCTTTCGCCTCTTGCGGCAGGGTATTCCTTGAGCCTCGGCTGCTCTTTGTTCAGCTCGCACGGAAAATAGGCAAAGAGTTTCTTGCTTTGCTGCATGGAAAGCTGAGCCGAAAAGCTTGTTCGACAGATGTCCTTGGAATTCTCGAGCAGCACCCGGGACAGTTGGCCTCTCAGGTGGCCTCACGCGGCGGCAAGGCAGCGAGGGCAATCTGCAGCAAACCCCCGCGATGTAGAAACCTGCACCTACACGCCTGGCGGTGTGCTGGAGCTGCCATGGTCTGCTACTCTCCGACAGGCTCTCGCACTCACAACGCTGCAAATGCGGAAGAAGACCTAACCACCGAACCTGAGTAATTTGAATCGGCAAAGGATAAGATGGAATGGCCCTGCATTTCTCAAAGCAAGAGTCCGCTCGTGCAGGAATCTGTCGGAGACCCATGCCAACTTCATGGCGGCTACCACCTCCTGCAGACATTGCCCCCGGCAGCAGAAGCAGCTCCAGTTCGGGAAAAACGAGACGACACTCGTGGGGCGAACCGGCGCTCCTGATGTAGATCGGATGCGTCCTTTGCTGAGCAGTGTCGGAAGCTGAAGCAGAGCATGCAGAAGCGACTCCATGTGCCTAAAGCTTATGCTGGGATATGGGTCTATCTAGATCTTGCAAAGCTGCGGCAGGTCGACCTGCAGCGACTTGTGCAGCCTGTGCGCAACTCACAGGGTGCCAAACAAGGTCACCCTCTATTCGCCGGTCGAGGTCGAGGTCTGCAGTCTGCAGCCAGAAAATTGTTTGAGACAGCCTGATGTCGAAACATGTTATGAGCTGGAAACCATTGCGGCCTGCTGTGCCGTGACAGCAATGCCGCGCGCGAGGTCACTGCGCACCTGCAGGCAAAGGTCATAACAGGACACACGTGACCCTCCTCAAGGAAGTCTCTCAATGACATTAACAACATGCTTGCGCCGAAGGAGGCGGCCTGCCAAAACTCTTGCGCCAACTCTTCCTGACATGATTGAGCTCTGAAATTCGAGGCCTCACGTGGACCCCTAGTCAATCCAAGAGTTGGCCAGACCAAAAAAATCCAAGCTGCTCTGAGAGATTTAAATAGATCCTGGTTCGGGGCATGGGTGACAGGCGCAGCATCTGACATTACCATGCATTACCATGCAGGTTCCCACGGGCAAGGGATGACCGTTTTCAAGCCCAGGCTCCGTGGCCCAGGTCGGAGCCGTCTGCGCCATCTGGGTGTCCAGAGCTCCGCGAGGCTCTGGCTCCTGAGTTTTGACCCTGTTTCAAGGCTCACAAGGGGGGCTCAGGGCCCCACTGAAGGAATGTAAGCCAACTCCGAGTGTGTATGTGCAAGAGCTTAATTAATGCAGTGCCGAAGGTTCCATGACTGGCTCCCTGCCAGGACGGCGGTGAACACTTATGGAAACGGTACATGGCATCGCTCACGCAGCTGACTGCCGGCAGTGTCTGACACGCTGACCCCTAGGGATGGCAGCGCCTTGGCTTCACGTCCTCTTCAAAAAATATTCCTTTGCGCTTGTTCTTCGCATCCCTGACATCCTGGGACACCTCAACACCGCGACCAGGCGAAGTTTTGCATTCTTGTACCTGAAATGCTGGCGAGGTGCGACTGACAGCTGCAAGCTGGATGTTGACAGCGTTGACCCGACGCCCATGGTGTGGACAAGCAATCCCGTCAACTTGTCCACGGAGAGCTGCAAGGCCCTCGTTTTCCAAAAATGCATGAACTGCCTTGCAAATCCCTTTTCAGCTCTCAGCCTGGCGGCCCTGGCCTGACTTCTTTTCTGAGTTGCTTGAAGTTCTTGTCGATGCGCTTGAACTCCACCGATCGATCTGAGGTGACGGCCCTCGGAGCAGCGGGCGCAGAAAATGGGGAACGCATGTCGCTCAACACTTGTCTTGCGACACCGCTGCTGGATGACACCCTCGCAGAACTCGTCCTGGGCTCACTCCAGCTTGCGACCCTTCATGGAACGACGGACTCATGGCCAGGGAGTGATCTACTTCTCTCCTAGCAGCCTGAGCCTAGTCTCTGGACAAGGATAACAAGACGTACAGAGCAAGATGTGCACTTGCAGCCATAGCGTCTATGTTGAGCTGCCCTGAGTTGTCTATATCCAGCATGCCTTAGCCGCAGTGGCAGTGTCATCAAACGACAAAGGATAGCGCTTGTGCTGATCATTTCTGGCCCTGGGCAGGCCACGAAATATCTCCAGCGGACTCTCCAGCGTCAAGAATTTCTTTAAGAGCATCTGGTCCTCTTCTGTGGCCTAAGTGCTTGGCGGCATACGAGCTCCCGTCCAACCCTCGCCTCTGACCACCTGGCCTCCATGATCTCCGCCAGAGTGATGGTCCCGCTGCCATCTTCATCTAGGCCTGCAGGCTTCGAACTACAAAGCCGAAAATCCAAGAACGACGGGCCGCCAAGTGGCGCGAGAACATCCCGCGGAGCTCATCGATAGTCTTTTTCCGACGCTTGTTCTCCTACCCAGACCAGGAGTGCCAGCCTATCTCAACTTGCCCCACATCGCCGGCCGTCCTGGATCCTCTGTATCTCTTTATTGCTCGAGGCCTGGCTCAGGGTCTCTGAGAAATTTTCTGCTAAAGTGCTAGCAAGGGCCCCAGGGTCCTGCTCCAGCGCGCTGTTGACAATCACCGCCTTAGCTCCAAAACCGAAACTGGGCGACTCTCGCCTCCTCAGCACCGGCCCGCCGGAAGCCTAGGCTCAAAAGGCCTAAGCCTCTGGCAGTGATGAGATTCATCAGCACCTGAGGCGAGACGGACTGTTTGTCATGTTCCCTCTCCCGATCAGGGCTGAGATGCACGCGATAGAGATGACGAGCACCAGGCCTCCGATTCGTGACTGGTGGCCCCGTTTTGACTTGGGTAGGTAAAGTGGAAACTGCCGTGCATGCAGCCAGAGTGGCCCCCAAAGTAGACGGCCAAGCCCGGATCCACCTGCAATATGAGATTCTGTGCACCATTATAGGATCTTCGCCTGGCTCGGCATGCCGGAGCCTTGACAAGAGGCTTGTAGACATTGGCCATCGAGTCCAAGGTGACGAACTGAACCTGCAGATCCAATACATCGGGTTGATAGGTGCCACGTCGTCCACACACGCCGTCGACTGATGCACGCATGTGCACAAAAAGGCAAGGAAAGAATGCTTGGAACCGGTGGGGTGGCAACTTTGTCTCTGCCAAACCAAAGTTCCGAGTGTTCAATCAACTCAGAACAACAAACATGTCTGAAGTCGCTGTGGTGACATCTCGTCAAGCCACAAGAGTCATCATTGTCACGAAGAGATTGCCGAAATGCTCATTGGCAACCTTCGTTCAAAAAGTGCAACAGCAACGCTGCAGCTGCATCGCTCGATCAACGCGGAGTTTTAGGGAGCAGAACTGAGCCGCTGGCATCATAAAAGTGAGGATCGGACGCCTCATTTCTCGCCATGGGGTGGTTGGTGATAACCTCCACCTCAATTTCCGGCTGAAAGTGTGACCGACCGCTGCAACGATGGCAGCAACTGCAACAACAACAACAACAACAGCAACAACAACAACAACAACACCAACAACAGCAGCAACAACAGCAACCACCACTACCACCACCACCGCCGCCATCACACTGCTGCTGCTGCTGCTGCTGCTACGACTACTACTACCACTACTGCGACGAAGACGACGACGACTGCTACTACTGCTGCTACTGCTACTGCTACTGCTGCTACTACTACTACTACTACTACTACTACTACTACTTCTTCTACTGTTACTACAGTTACTACTATTACTACTGTTACTACTACTACTACTACTGCTGCTACTACTACTACTACTACTACTTCTTCTTCTTCTGCTGCTGCTACTACTACTACTACTACTACCACCACCACCACTGCTACCCCTGCTACTAGTAGTGCTGCCCCTGTATTGGCACCACCCCCACTATCACCACAACCACCTCAACTATTACCATTTCTGCTAACATTACCACTACCACCAATCCCTCCCTCTCGTTTCCAGAGGTCGTTCCGCCCTCAAAATCTGGTCCCGCAGGCGACTTGCCGGACTGATGAGGGCCATTAAGTTTTAGTTGGGATGAATCCTACATGTTTTTTTGCTTCAACAATGGCTATCCCGCCACGAGGTTGTTTCCATTGACCAGACCCTATAGGTCCTCTAGCTATCATAAAACCTTCGGGAGAAGAGTAATGACGAGGCGCGGGTTGTTGTTGTTGTTCTTCTTGTTGCGGCTGTCGTGGCCCCTTTTCCTGCGGTTGACATTGTCGTTCACGAGTCTGTGCCGGCGGCTGTGGCCCCCAGCCACTGCGAAGGCCAATGACGATAATCATGCTTATAAGAACGATAAGACTGATCGTGTGCAGCATTATTATAGGGAAAATGACAGCAACATGTACAATAATGATCCTGCTGTTGATTTTAGTGCTGCTGTGCGCGGCTAGTGCCGTTGCTGTGGATGTTGTGACTTTGGTTGTTGTAGCTGCTGCTATTGCTGCTGTTGCTGTTGCTGTTGCTGTTGCTGTTGCTGTTGCTGTTGCTGTTGCTGCTGTTGCTGCTGTTGTTGTTGTTGCTGGTGTTGGTGATGCTGTTGCTGTTGCCATTTGCTGCCAAGTCCTCTTGTTCCTCGTCTCGTTGCCGCTGCTTTTGTAGTGTTAGGCTGAATGCCTGAAGCTTTCAGGCGTCAGCTCAAATATCTGAAGCTCGAAGCCGCAATTGACCTTGTGCATGTACTGAATTTTTGTTGATCACCTCGCGAGGTCGGAGGCCCGAAGAGGAAAGCTGAAAAGAACGGCAGCCAGGTGGAGGAGGAGCTGAGAGAGAAAGGGCCGCACGGGATGTGGGGGCGGGGCTGGGGGCGCAGGCTGCTGCAAGTTCAAGCTAACGAGATGCAAGGTGCCGAGGCCATGGATGGATGCACTAATCGGAGTCGATGCGTTCGTACTGGCACCAGTGTAAGTGCCACGACTATCGTTACTAGCACTGCTAGCACAGAGGCCTGCTCGAAGCTGCTAGAACACATGTTCTCAGCAGTGAGAATATCACCGTCAGTAGCATTGCTGAAACTCGCACCATTGACCAGAAGCATTTCATTCATCCGTTCTTTGCGTGGACACTCGCAGTAATGTCGCTCCTGCAGACCACTCTGCGAAAATATACCTGGTACTTCCCAGTCACAGGGACATGTTCGTGAATGCCGCATATGTCTAGTGGCACTACAGGTCACAGTGTTTTGCTCATGTGTCTTTTCAACTTGCGCCACGCAATCGAAGAGTTTGAAGAGTTATTCTGTTAATCACAACACGCCAAGTTGCTCGCTGCGTGGCGTAGTGCTTATGCATGGCATCAGGAGGTATATGCAGCATGACAAGATGCACCCGCCCCAAACCTAGTTCGCGAAACTTGCGCAAGTGAAATTTCCTGTCGCAGCGGCCACGGTTAATTTGGGGTTGCCGTCGCATCGCCAAACTGTCGGATGCCAACAGCTTTCAGCTACTTGCGGTATCATCTAGGCTATTGACAAAATGGTCGTGGTGGGTGGTTACTCCGACAGGTAAATTGCAAGAGCGAACTCGAACCGAAATGTTTTACATTGCGCAATGCTTCTTTCAATACTATGCAGCCGATTGCAGACAAAGTGCATCATGCGTGATTCTGGGAACTGCAGAGGGTCGAGGTTACTGGATGTAATTGGTTTCGGTTCAGGGTGATGTGCGCCAATCAGAGCATTCTAGTGATGTGACCGAACGTTATCTAAAGCAGGGACGTGTGGCACCAAGTTTTGTTTTCAAAAAATTGAGTCTGTGTTTCCTCTCTTCTGGAGACAATGCAGCCTTTCCCTACATGCGCCTCGAGACATGCCCTCCAGGAATCGACTTGGCCTTAGCGGGTAGTGTTTCTAGGAGTTGAAGGGTAGTTCTTGCTGCTGGGTTTCGACCTGACAGGAGCCGGACCAGAAGAAACAGTGTGCCTAGGTGAGGACCTGATGGAGCTTGGAAAATCAGCTTAAGCGTCGTCGGCCCTAAAAGCCTCAACACCGAGAAAACTAAAGCTAGTACATTGTAGTACCTTCTAGTTACATTCCAGTATATTCTAGTATGTTATACGTATCGTATGAAGCTGATCGCCCGCCATTGCTCCATCGTGCCACTGAAGTTTTGAGTTTTCGCAGTTCTCACCCTGTACAGCTCGCAGAGACAGGTATCAGCCTCGTGCTCTTTCTTTCCTTGGGGCGTAAGCTCGTTACTCGGTTTAGGGTTTAGGGGATACTACCTGAGTTGTTTCCGAGACGACTAAGCTACCAGGAAATGTCTCAGCATCTGTTGCGAGAACTTTGAAAGCTCCCTAGGACCTCCGCGTCTTGCAAAGACATGAGCCAAAGTCTGCAAAGACTTCAGCAGAAGGGAAAACGATGCATACTTGGAGATCTTAGTCACTTCTATGCTCACGTGACTGTTGGGATCAAGATATACGATCCTATTGTGAAGCATCGCCGCAGTGTGTAGCACCCGATCATCTTGGCTCCGCATATGGAGTGTTTGTTGGTTCTAGACCGTTCTAGATAGATGTGGGTGGCCAGTGCTGAATGATCGCGACATGTTGTGGTAGCGAGCAGCTCGCATGTCGTTGTAGCAACGAAACAAGTGCAAACTGTGTTGGTCGTTTGTCCTGACTCCCAAGTCGCGTGCAGTCACCGACACCATGCCCACCACGAGATGCCGGGCTTACACGTTCAGACACTTCTTCGATCCCAGATCAGCACCAACTCTAGCTGCAATCAAGCATGAAGTCGGGCATAAAGCGTGGCGGCTTCGAGTAGGTGGAATCACCAATAACGCTGGCTATGATGTCGCTGCAAGCATGTCGAGATTCGCGGCCTTAACGTTTCAGGGGATTGGGCGGGCCGGTAGGTCACCTGGCAGCAAAAGCTGGAACTCCACAGTTTCAGTTTGGGCACAGGGTCTTTGTTACAAAACACCTCCCTGGTTCCCCTTTCTCCCACGTGCCAATGCTCAGTATTTTAGTGTTACTGGTCTTGGGGTCACAGCCATCTATTGAGCAAAACACTAGCAAAACAGAGCAGCAAAAGCCGCTTTGTCAGGCTTTATGACTCCCTGATCTCTCTGCGCAGGCCTTGATGTTCCGGATGTCACCCACGTCCTCAACTTTTCCTTGGGAATGTCGGCCGAAGCCCTACTAGTAGCCCCTCAGGGCCCTGACAGAGAAGATTCTTGAAGCATTCCCTGCACACTGTGGCACTATGGAATGCTAGTCCAAAGTCTCATGCTGCCAAGATCGAACTGCCCGAACCCGATGTTGCAACACATGCCGCAACATGTTCGCGCGGCTTTGTGCGAGCCATCTTCATGCCAATTCCGCCATACAAGTCGGCCCTTGCACGTATTCCACTATGCAAAGTCTAGAGCCGACTCAGGATTCTCCGCGCGGCTGTCTTTTGCATGGCAAAGCCTTCACTGCAAAACCACCGCTTGCAACCGTTCGAACTGCTATGCCTGATGTCGGTTGAATTCTCGGAGAGGTCGCTTTAAACAGAGTCCAGTCGATGCTCATGATACTCCTCCTGCGGGCTCCCTAAATCCGTCCAATCATGGGGTCGAATTGCTACGCCGGCTGTGAGTTCAAGGGCCAGACCATCGGAGAGAGAGTTCTACACACATCCAGCTGATGCTCATGATGCTCGCCCCACCGGTTCCTTTAATCTGCACCGGCTCCTTTTATCTGTCCAATCACTCGGTTGAACTGCTATGCCTGCTGTGGGTGCAAGGGCCAGACGATCGGAGAGAAGGTTTTGAACACAATCCAGCTGATGCTCACGATGCTCGCCCCTCGGGCTCCCTCAATCTGTCCAACGACTCGGTTGAACTGCTATGCCTGCTGTGGGTGCAAGGGCCAAAGAAGGTGTTGAACACAAGCCAGCTGATGCTCATGATGCTCGCCCCGCGGGCTCCCTAAATCTGTCCAATCACTCGGTTGAACTGCTACGCCTGCTGCGGGTTCAACGGCCAGACCATCGGCGAGAGATTTTTACACAATCCAGCTGTTGCTCATGATGCCGGGCTGCCTAAATCTGTCCAAGGACTCGGTTGAAGTGCTACGCCGCTACGCCTGCTGTGAGTTCAAAGGTCCGACCATCAGAGAGAGAGTTTTAAACATAATCCAGCTGATGCTCATGATGCTCGCCCCGCGGGCTCCCTAAATCTGTCCAACCACTCGGTTGAACTGCTATGCCTGCTGTGGGTTCAACGGCCAGACGATCGGAGAGAAGGTTTTGAACACAATCCAGCTGATGCTCATGATGCTCGCCCCTCGGGCTCCAAAAATCCGTCCAATCATTCGGTCGAACTGCTATGCCTGCCGTTCGTTCAAAGAAATCGGATAGAGAGAGTGTCAAACACAATCCAGCTGATGCTC